AAAGAGTAACAAATTTCTGTTAAAGGATATGTCCATTTGGTCATTGCATCTGCTACGGGTGATAACCATGCCATGTAAGGTCTTTCTAGCAAAAGCAAGAGTACCTGACAACCATCACTTCCTCAGTGATTAACATTTGTAGCTGATTTGTCAGGCTTATTTATTAAATAAGGGATGCATGGCAATGCATGCAAAACACAGTTTGACCCTTTGCATAATGTACTTTGACCAGATGCAGCAAGGTATTTTTTTAAAGTTGACATTAAAGGAAGCACAATATGAACAAATGCTAGTTTACAGAACTCACCTACAAGAAAAGACGGTGACTTACAACCTGTAGCTTTAAATGCTAAATTAGGAACACACTACAGTACAGATCTGTATAAACACCTGTTTCTCACTGCAAAGTACAAACCAGTTCTTTTCATCCCAAACCACAAGGCTGTCACTTTCCTGCATGCTGCTCTGCTACACTGAAGTGTAACTTGGATGTCAGAACAGAAGGCTGCATACAGACCAGTGTGATAAACTTTATGGATCCTGAATAGTTCCAGCTTAAATCACAACGAAGTCTACAGCAGTTAAAATTTCATTTTAAATTAAAAATTTACAGTAGAGGAATACCTGAGTATGTGTGTCCTTAAAGCAAATTTAGAAACACTAAGTTTTGGAAATGCTGTTCTGTCCAATACGGAGTCAACATTTCTGTTCCATTACATAACAATTATTCAGGACTTTGTCACTACAGCAACCTACGTGCATATACCATAGCAAGGCTGTTTCTCATTTACATGAGGGGCTCTGCAATTGCTGATAATTAATCTTACTGCACTGGTAACAGGACACTGATGAAATTTGCTAGTTAAAACCACATGAACTGGAATATGCATCGCTGGAATGCAAGTATATCAAGACTATCACAGTTTAAAATAATCTGATAGTTTTTTTTCATTTTAACAGTTGTATCTACAGGTATAGCTTTGCAGACTCACTACTTGTCTGATTTTAATCTAAATAACTGGGAAGACTACAAGAGCTAGCTTTTCCTCTAAGGAACAGAATTTGTGACTTCTTAAATTGCTATTTAACAAATTATTAAGGGTTGTCACAAATATCTAATATGATACGTTTTTCTTTAGAGAACTGTATGACTAGTACCTCACTAAAACAAAAAGAACGTGTGAAAAACTACTATTGAAGTAAAGTAGACCTTTTCCCCTCCCACTGGCATCTAAACTGTAGAAACAGGTTCTGAAGTTAGGCCTCACTTATTTATGAATAAGTGGTTTGATTTTCCAATGTCTCACTGTATTCTTTTTACAATACTGCTGCTCCTTTTATTAAAGTCATGTGGAGAAAAAGCTTGGAGTGTCATCACGGGGAACTTGGCTCTGATGCCTCAGGTAGTCTTGAAGGAAAGATTCATTTCAACTGACACATCGTCTTTTGTTCATATTTGAACAGAAAGAAAGGAAACATGCTATCAAAATTCCACTTGAAGCCAATTTTTACTGCAAGAGTAGTACTGTAAAATTGTATTTCCAATCAATTTCTCTAGGAAGGTAAGTTTCAAACAATCTCAGCAGAAATATTTTAATAGACTACCTTCCTAGGCCTTATTCCTTTCTCTGCAAGGACTGACAAGCTAGCTATGAACTGAAAACGTTCTTTATGTGGTGCATCAAAAATGGAAAGAGGACTTAACAGCTCGCAACATAGGCAAATATACTTGCTCCTCCTTTCCATCCTGGTTAATTGATTCACAGGTATCCTTTGGTACTCTCTAATTTGGCTGAGTTAAGAAATAAATCACAACATTACAGAAACTTAGTCACAGCTGAAATTCTAAAGAAATACTTGATCAGTGTGACTACCTATAAGAAACACTCACCCAGAAGACAAATAATTTCATTATTGCATCTTCACAACTTAGAGATATTTAATGGCATGACACTGTAATATTCTGGTATTTCATTAACTCATTCCTAAAATTTAAGTAGGACCCTTACTCACTGCAAAGTAAAGAACAAAACTGGAAGCGCAGACAGGAAGGACAAACAGCATTCCTAGAACAGCATTTATAACTTGGAAAGGAGATTGCTGGGCTGAACAAACTTACTGTGATGTGGAGATTGGGATGTTGACACAATTTTTACCTTGGATACCGAATGGGTGAAAAACCACCAGTTTCACACGTTGCTGACAAGTCAAAACAAGGCAGGAACTCTATATAGTCACATTAGTAACCAAAGATCTTCTCTTGATGCCAGGTCTCCAAGCGCTTTGTGATGAAAGATACATCTCTGTAGATTAACACCTAACAGATTTTCAAGTAGCTACAAGATACGAAAGTGGGTTTGCATCTGTCCATGTACTATGTACGCCTTTTTGTCAGTTTTCTATCAGGACTGTTTTGGGTTTTTTTTGGGGGGGTGGTGGGGGGGGTGGTGGTGGGTGCGTGTGTGGTTTTTTTTGGACAAACACACACACCCTGACAGTGGTGGTGTGGTTTTTTGTGGTTTTTTACTTTACAGAGCTAAAAAAGGCCTTGGAACACTCTCCCACTTGGTTTCTTTGGCTATTTGTGTACAAATGCTCAAAGTCACATTACTTTTCTCCTCCCCTCCTTGAATGGGGATATTTGTTCATGACATCGTGAAATTTGAACACAGTTGTGTTAATAAATTTTTCAGCATCAATAATACATTTTCTTACTTAGCAATCCAATTTGAAAATTAAGTATATAGTGATTAGATTTTACTTAGGGTATTATGTAAGGATGGAAGCATGTTAACAGTTTTCTTTAGTTCCAAGCCATTTGAGTTCTGTCAAAGTTCTCTTAACATTACTGAAACATTTTTTAGTCTTCAGAGACCCTAACTCTAACTTACCGTGTACGGAGGGAGGAAGGCTTGTTATCTATCATTTTAACTAAAAGAAAGGCGACATAAACCAAGATGACTACGTGGAAGCTGCATCAAGTTATCAGATGCAAGTGGCAAACAAGACTTCGTTATCAAAAGTTTGTGCCTTTTCCTACACAACAGAGGAAAAGCAACATCCAGAAGACCCTTCAGATTTCCACTGTGATAAGATAGCTCAGCTTCACACTAAGGTAAAAGGAAATTAAATGAAGTCCTGCAGCACAGTAAAATTGCTTATTAACCAGCAGCAGTATTTTCTTTCCATTAAACTTCATCACCCAGTCAAAAGGGCTAAATGACAGATCTAAATCAAACTTCCAGACCTGACCTGATCACTTGTTCACCTTTTTGGAGAATACTACTGTTCAAGAACACATTCTGCTCCTACCAGTCCCCCCTAAGCATGACAGACACACATTCCACCTACCACTACATTCCAGCTCTGCCAGGTGAACCAACACTACTACCACTAGCTCTAGAAAGAGTGAGGTTTCACCCAGTTAAAGTAACTTGCCTACCTCTAGTCTTGGGGAGTGGCTGTTCATCTTCTCTCCATTGTAGTCCCTACCTGTTTCAAAGGGCTATCCAGCTGTCTGACATAGCCTGATAGCCAAAAAGGCTAGGGATGTACTGCCTAGATGGGAAACAAAAAAGTAGGAAAAAGTGATTGGACATACCAGAGGTGGTAGAGAAGAAATTATCTCATCCCACGGTAAAAACAGGACTACAAACAGAAAATCATGGGCTTCAAGAAGTGACAGCCTTACAAAGCAGAGAGAGTGAGTACTGCTTGAGATATCTGAGGTGTAAGGAAAAGGTTAGGTACTACTCATGTACAGCAAAAAATAAGCAGCAGCAAATAGTAGTCATGTTCAACACTAGACAGGCTTTTGGCATCTAAGTGCTTTCCTATATAATACCTACCCAGCACATTACTTTTGTGGCTAAAGCTTTTCAAGCTGTTTTTCTCTAGTTATGTTTAAAATGTAACACTTCTAAGATTACTGTGCCTCCATATCTCTCATTAATTTCAAATGGGTCTAGACAAACACATTGTCACACACCTGTTCTTACCACTGATACTCCCTGCTTCAGTCATACACATATGTCCCATCCAATGCTGCAAGGTAGAAAGGAAATGAGGTATGACGTGGAAATCGCTTGCAGTCCACCTTGCTACAGCCAACTCTGCCTACTGCAACAACGCTGCCACTAGGAGGTTTGTTACAAGATTGAGTTGCATATTTTTTTCTTTAAATAGCCGCATATATGACCTACTTATACCACAGAATGCAGACACATACACTGGTAATATTTGTTCCCCCTTTCAATACAGAGAC